TCGGCTACCTGGAGAGCTCAGGACAGTACCTATGGGATAGACTAGCAAGACTCCTTGTGAGAGCCCTAGAGAGGTATGGGTCCAGTTGCCCCCGGCTTTTCAAGCTCCTTTTGAAGGTGACTGACTAGAATGGAATTTGTCAGGCGCCCTACAAGCTCCTCACAAGAGCTTCTCGGTCTCATGATCGACATCGTTAAGAACAGGCCGGGCTCTGTCAGGCCTCTCCTTCACCAATACTATAGACTTTTGGCGAGGTACTTCGAAGAAGGGGGACAACTAAGCCTACCAGCAGACCAAAGGCATCTGCTAGCTGAGGCAGCTACAGCACCCCTGGCACCCACGGCCACAAACAGTATGTCTACAACCTTCACATTCCTCTACACGTTTCATAGATCCCCTACATTGTGTCTCTGAAGAGTATTTCTATTGGTCATTATCTATGTACCTAATGAAGTAGAGAGATACACACGCTAACCTGTCACAGGGTCACCCGAGTATACGGCATACCGAGCTTTTTCATCCACTTTTCTGGCCTCTCCTAACTTGTTGGCCTTACAACAAGACCCAGCCCTAATTGCGCAATCCTTAGACCTCCAGGTTCTTTCCGAGAGTGTGGTCGATAATCTATCTGCGCAAGAACAAGTCGGAGACTTGTCAAAAGATGGCTTGCTTTGGCTCTTGGCTCACTTTATAGCCTTGAACAGAGCGATGCCCACCTCTCAGGGGTCATCATATCTTAAGGCTCTCTATCTTCAGCTCTCTATTCTTGCCACTGATATTCGGATACGAACGAGAGAGCCTGAGCAATCGTATAATGACGCTTCTAGCGACGATGAGGACAATGTACAGGTCAAGACCATTACCGCGTTGCCTCGATATGTGGTCGACCAACTTGATTTCCTGGTAAATGAGGACGGCATTACAGAGTTGCTCTCCAGGTTCACTTCGTAAGTGTTGTGTCGATATTCATTTCGCATCTTAGGGGACTGGAGACTAACTAACCCGCCTAAGAACTGCGTCATCCTCTGCACGTCTTTCCGAAGACGCAAGCCTCCTCGCCGGATATACTCTCGTTCTACTTCGCTGTTTCCCCAGCCATGTCGACGACATCAAGATGCGCCTATTCCAAGGAGATATCTCCGTCAGCGGTTCCAAAGGATTTTTGGCACTACCAACTGTCAAGTATTTTTGGAATGCCGCTTCAAAAACGGAGATTTTCAGTAGAATCGTGCAGAACAAGGGTCAACAGAGACACGCGACGGTGGTTTCCCTACTCAAATCAGATCCCTCTCGAGACCAGGAGTGGCGAACGATACTATTATTCTTGGAAATGTACAACTTCCTCCTACGCGTCACGGACGACGAAGATTTCCTGCCTAGCGAAGTCCAAATGGTTTCCCGCCAAAGTCCAGCGACCGTCAGGATTCGGTCGAGCGGTTTGGATATTGACGAATTGAAACAACTGGTCAATTTCTTAAAAACGCTTAGTCTACCACTTTATTATAACCTCTCAGACATTATGCCAGCACGATCACAGTCAAGAAGCCTCAATGCGATAATGGGTGTGAGTTCTAGCCAGCCTCAGGAAGAACAGGTTGCCGCACCCTCTTTCGCTGGTATATGGGGTATGGACGTCCTTGGCTTGAGGAATGCCTCGACCACAACACTACGCTCATTGTACGAAAGAGATTCCCGCCGGCCGTTCTTGCCTGCCAACTTTTGGTTGATGACCCAGACGTTCGAAATGGACGGCTTCATCAATGCTGTTGTTCTGGAGGAGACACGAGCGGATGAGATGGACGAAAGCGGTGATGAAGACGATGTCTTCGGTGGGCCTTCGGCGCATGACTCCTTCCATACCTTTAGTGGTCATCGTCTTTCCCGTGCGGCGCAAATCGAAAGACAGCGCCAATTGCGAAAGGTCCAACGAGAGCAGGCTCTGGCTCAGTATGCGCCAAAGCTTGAGGTCTTGCGAAACATGCCTTTTGTCATACCGTTCGATTTCAGAGTTAAGATATTTCGACAATTCGTTCTGTTGGACAAATCGAAGCGCCGCAATGGCTATGTAGATCCGGATCAATGGCGGTTATGGCTGGTGCATAACGAGGGCCACTTCAACAGTCCAGCTGCTAGAGCCAGGGATGTACTAGGCCGCCACATGGCAAGAGTCAAGCGTGGACATGTTTTCGAGGACGCGTTCGATCAGTTCTATCCGCTCGGGGAGGGACTCAAGGAGCCCATCCAGATTACTTTCGTCGACTTGTTTGACCAGCCCGAGGCCGGTATCGATGGTGGTGGTGTCACGAAAGAATTCCTAACCAGCATCACGAACGAGGCGTTGGATCCCGGACCAGACGGGCCAGGACTTTTCGTGGCCAACAGCCAGAATTTACTATTCCCCAACCCGTCCGCTTTCGAGAATGAAGCAGCAAAGCTTCGATCTGAAGGCTACGCAGAAGGAGGCGTCGACTGGAGGATCAAGATGGCCGAGCTCGCCAAGCACTACGAATTCCTCGGACGAGTAGTGGGCAAGTGTATGTACGAGGGAATCCTCCTCGACAAAACCTTCGCTAGCTTCTTCCTTCTTAAATGGGCCTCGTCGGGGATGAGTGCTCCTGGTGACTATCGCGCGAATCTGAACGACCTTCGCGAGCTAGATCCCGAACTATACCAAGGACTGTTGAGTCTGAAAAATTATCCGGGCGATGTCAGCGACCTAGCGTTGGACTTCACCATCACCGATGAGTACACGCTCCCTTCGGGTGAAGTGAAAACCGTTGACCGGCCTCTTCGAAAGGACGGCATGGAGATGCCTGTCACCAACAAGAACAGGCCCTTGTACATCTCATACGTGGTCAACCATCGACTGGTCGCTCAGCCGTATCGCCAGACGAAAGCATTCCTGCGCGGGCTCGGCTCCATCATCAATCCCTCGTGGCTCTCCATGTTCAACCAGTCCGAACTCCAGCGCCTCGTTGGGGGCGACAGTACCAACATCGATGTGGAGGACTGGCGCAGCCATACAGGTTACTCCGGTTTGTACGTCATCGGGGATGATGGAGAGGAGCACCCAACCGTCCGGATGTTCTGGGAAGTCCTTCGTGAGATGGAGGACCGGGAGCGAAGACTGCTGCTGAAATACGTAACTTCGACCCCTAGAGCGCCGCTTCTTGGCTTCGAGCAACTCAGCCCCCAGTTCACAATTAGGGATGGGGGAACCGACGAGGAGAGGTTGCCAAGCACGAGTACGTGCATCAATCTTCTCAAACTCCCGAAGTACAACAGCAAGAAGACGTTGAGAGAGAAGCTGCTCTACGCTATAAACGCTGAGGCCGGCTTCGATTTGAGCTAGATGATAGGCCTATTCCAAGTAATGAAAAAGTCGGTTAGGAGGGGGTACACGAAGAATACAGATGCTGCTGAGACCAGAGGGTCTGGCAGAACAGAGAGATGTCGATGTCGTGTAGATATACCTACCCGAGGCCAGCAAAGCAGGGATGAGTCCCTTCCTACCTACTCGCCTGGAAAATGTTGCACTTGAGACGCTTTGGGGGGGTATCCTCCCCAATCATGAAGGCAGCGGAACTCATTAGACCAAAGGCGGCAGGTACCGGTTGAGTAATTTGCTATTTGAACAGTACAGGGACACGAACGTTACGACGGCAGGCTGGCAGGTTTATGGTCAAAAGGGGAGTAGGAGCGTGTACAATGTTCGATAATGAAATGCATATACATCTTGCTTATTGATTACTTTTCAGTGCGTTTGAAATCGTGTATACAACAAAGATCAACATTAATCGTTATGACTGCCTGCATAGCATAGCATAGCTGCATATGGTTTGCTCCTGATCCGGCATCATGCATTGAACGTGTTAAATATATTCATTTATCTATGTGTTAGTAAGTAACGAAATAAATAAATAGGGTAAAGAGGGAGGTATTTCGAAACGAAACGGCAGTCAGATCGTGTGGATAGAGATTTACTCCCATGGGGAGGGAAGGAGAATTTTTTCCAACGGGATCTTTTCAACACCTATATCTATCTCCCTTTGCAATACCAAGGAAATCGATGACATTCTGGGAGGGACGGGACTATCTATCTAAGCCTCACATATATACATATATATGTCTGAATATCCGGAGCCGCCTACCTAGGTTAGATAGATCCCTCTCACGAACCAACCAGGCCAGGCCAGGCCACGTTGGTCAAGGCGATTTCGCATAGCTAACTGCCTTTCCACGTCGTGATCATTCATCACTGGGGACAATTTTTATTTTATCACGCAGGACGGACGAGGCGCTTGCGCAATGGTTGTTGCATGTACGTGGTGGGCGTGATCTTGGTTTTCAGGGTTCGACGTTTCATAGCAGCAGCAGCAGCAGCAGTAGCAGCGGGAGAAAGCTTTGGTCAGGAAGGCGAAAGAACAAGATGGAGACCACCGCCGTGATGAATGGACCTTGCGACATCTGGTTCGACATGCTATATAGGCAGGACTCGTGATCATTTATATGCTTGATAGGTAGAAGGGAGAGAAAGCTAGTTATGCTGCCCAAATGGAAGGGCGTGAAATGGCGCAGCAGGACCTTATGAGTGAGTGACATGCCTGCCTCTGATCGAGCCACACAAATACACTAAGGTTGCGATAAGTATCTTGCACCTGCTTCTGACCAAGAGCGCACTGGACGGATTTCGCGCTGTGTTGCTCAAGGAGTAAATAGAAGAAGTCGTTAGTTATCCTCGGTGTACGTAGCTAGGAAGCCAATGAACAAAAGTGAGCGCCCATCATTATGATTAAGTAAGTAAGTACCCCTGAATACAGGATTTCTCAGGCCAGCCAAGGTGAAGGGCAGAGTGCATAAAATAAAGAAAGCATAAAGGAGATGAATAGAAACACGAAAAAAAAGTCACAGACAAATAAGTAAAAGTAAGCAGCAGCAAAAAAGAAAAAGAATAAGAAAGCAGGACCCGAAACAAGCATGGGAAAAGACAAATAATAAAAAGGTCAATCTGGGAATCGAACCCAGGCCTTGAGAAGGATTCCTGAATTAATCAGAATCTCACGTCCTAACCCCTAGACGAATCGACCGATGATCGACCGCTTGCTAAATGACATTATATAGATCGCTGAAAGCGTGCGAGCTTTTGCTGCATGCATGAGAACAGATTTTGTGAACTTGGGCTCTGTGGGTGGGTTCAAGTTGGAAAAAATTGGGTGCTTCACGTGATCTGGCATATTCTTCCCCAGCCAGGGGGGGGGAGGGGGCTGAGGGCTGCTTTGTTGAGTCCTAACACCAACAAATTGGCGGCCATTTGGTTTCTTCTATGACGAAAAATGTTAATAAATCATTAATGGATGACTATCACGGGGGTTTTGTCTTATCCATCTTGATTCTTTTTTTACCTCCTACCTGCATACATTACTTTCAGGTTGGCATTACGCAGTCAGTATGCGCAGCGCAGCAAATCTCTTTTGGAGTTCGAGACCAGGGGAAGGGGGCCGGAGCTGCGGCTCAGGGGTGGGTTGTCTAATATTCGCAAGTTTTGATGTATGCTTATATGACATGTACTGTATGTACCATGGACAGACAATGTTGGGATGGGCTTTACTTGAGTTTGTTTTTGTTCATCTATCCAATCTCTAAGGTCAAGGTGAAGCTCATTATTGAGTTGAATCAATAACATTCCCCTGCGGCTATGTTAAAAAAGAAAGAAAGAAAGAAAGAAAAGAAAAGAAAAGAAAGAAAAGAAAAGAAAGAAAAGAAAAGAAAAGAAAAGGGCAGACATGGATGTACATACATACACTCGTGGTTTCATTATTCATGTTGAGGAAAAGGGGGTATACAAGTAAGAGTAGATAATCTTACCGTTTTAAGTGACTGATAGTCTAGATACCTAAGGTTTGCGGTAAAACAAAGCGAGGGCACACTGCCGTCAGGAAAATTTACATAGTTACACTATTCAGGTAGCTACAGAGGTGCATGCATTTGGAGGACAGCTGAAAGAAATGAATGTTTTTCGAGGAGATTGGTGGTGCTGGACAAGATGCTAAGTCTCTCCACCTTGACTTAGTTAAGGCAGCGTACTCATTGCTGGGGTGGTATTATGTAGGGTCTCGTCCGGCCACTGGATCACCTTTCACAGAGGAACCCTTCACGGCAGAAGTGATCCGCGACTGCTTGATGTCACGGATCAGATGAAAAGACAAGTTATCTGCAAAGTTGTTGGTGGAATGATCAATTATTCGTCACTTCATTTTGAGAGCTCCGAGTGACTTGTGGTATGGATGCCACCAAGATCACGAACGAGCTCGTCGTAGCTTTCGGGCCTAGCCTCTTCTCCACGCCTCTATATCGTAACAAACAACGGCAACCAACCCAAATCCATCCCCCTGATTCCCGTGTGCGCGATGCGCTCGTATATGAACCACAGTGGAAATTTAGCCGTAGATCAGCTTGAAGATGTCGTTGTGGACGTAATAGGGGAAAGGGCCCTGGGGGTTCTGGGCCAAGAAGAATGTCTGCATGTAGTTCATGGGTCGTTGCTCCTCGTCGACCTATTCTCATGTGTTAGGGCTGTGCGAAACATGAGATTACGCACACAAAGAACTTACCAGGAGCTGGCCAGTGACAACGACGAGGACGGTACCGGGATTGATACCAGCTTGGCAGTCGTAGGTAGAGACCTGGTGACGGATCTGGCCGAAGGGGAGTTCCTAGGGAAAATTGAGCGTCTATAGTCTCCTATAGGGGGAGGGTGCCATGCGTACCTTCAGCTTCTCGATGATGGCCGCATCACCTTGGGTGGTAGCGGACTCGAAGGTCATAGTAGAGGTGGGCGACTGAAGTACAGATTAGACGGACTCGTATAATGAATGGTTGGCGAAGGGTGAGCTCCATACGTAAAGGAATTTGAGACCCTCGGCTCGCTCCTCCTTCGGCTTGTCGAACTCGGTGTAATATTTCTCTATGAAGGCCACTGTTTTCCTCCTCGTCAGCTCCAGGCATGGGCACAGCGGGGGTATGTCGGTTGGAGGCGGATGAAGCGGCCAAAGTCGCAAAGCAACGTTGGCTCATAACGCAGATGTCGGCGGGATTAAGGACATACGGCCAACCTGTTCGGGAGTAGGAGCTGGAGAACGGTTAGCACGGATTGTCGGGGAGAATGATGGAATGCGCAACTCGAAAGTTGGGCAGTAACACGATCTGGCGCAAGATCAGAATCAGAACTTACCTGCCATGTTGACAAAGTCGGGTCGACAAGCGCGTGGTCTCAGGCGATATGGTTTCAAGTCGATGGCTCACAGGAGAGCTAGGGTACAGTAAAAAGAGGCTGATAGAGAAGTTGCACAAGCTTTGTACTTGTCGAGGAGGATGTATTGGGTGTCGGCGATGGTATTTTTCAAGTTTGGAAGATGAGGCTGCTTTTAGGTGGGAGGGGCATCCTCGCTGGTGCTTGCGCTGCTGCTGCTGCTGGCGGGGTAATTAATTTGTTGCTTGTCCGCGCCCGACGCCTTTCACCCCTGTCACCATCCCTGTCACCTGTCCTCACAGCTAGCCGGCTGCTAGCAGCTGGACTCTTCCTAGTCTCACCTGGCCGGACAATTACGTAACCTTATGCTAGTCCATGTGTACCTTGCATTATGTGGTCAGTGCGTTGTACCACATTGACGTACAGAGAACGAAGTAGGGCTGGTAGGTACTTCAGTACCTGGGAAAGTGCATGTATGCAATATGAAGTCGGGCAGCATCTCAAGAGCAAAACCTCGCGAGTCAAGACAAAGTGTGGGAATGACTGACCTTCCCTCACCTCAGAGCCCTCATCTGTGAGCTCTTGCTTTTATGGCCATTTCATTCTGATTTTCTACGCTCTTCGCCTACATATATGTACTCAAATGTTTATAGCAGAACCTGTTTCCTTGAGAGCTAACCTTAGCTACATGTACCTTCAACTTTATCCCCTTCCCATTGCAGGATGCTACTGAACACCTGGGCCTCCCTCATCTACAACAAATTTATCTGATATATCAGCACTGGCGCCAGGCCATTGCTGCCATAATGGGCTCAGCTCAGGATACATTGTCTCAATCCCTAGCGGCCTCAAGCCGAGACAATAATCAGTCAAACTTAGCCCCTGTCGACTCCAGGCGAGGTCGCTTGCTTCGCCGTCGAAGTCCCGGTACGAAACACCATGCCCGTCAAGTATCTGTTGGCTCCCTGGACCGCATCTACAACACTCGCTCCGACTCAGCCAATTTTCTACAAGAGGTCTCCAAGAAACTTACCGTTTCTACCGACTCCGATCTTGGCTTAAAAACGTATGGAATTACTGAGCTGCGCGATGGCTTCTTCGACGCCCTCTTCTACCCTCCCCAAGATATCGACCCTGAATATCTCAGGAAGCAAGCAGAGGCTACCTTACCATATGCCCTTCGAAAGAGAGATCCTCTGTCCATGAGCAATTTCCTACCTAAACAATGGCATGAGATCAAAGGGGCTCTTCGCCGTGCTACCACCACCAGGGCCGGTATTCGATTACTCAAGTCTTTCCTGGGTTTCTTCATTTCATACGTGCTCTGCCTCGTCCCCGCCGTCCGCTCCGAACTTGGCCGTTATAGTTATATAATGGTAATCTCTTCTCTCCTCAACCATCCGGGAAGGACCCTGGGAGCACAGGTTGACGGTACTTTGCTCACCATCGTTGGTACGGCCACGGGCCTCGCTTGGGGTGCATTCGGCCTATGGCTATCTACTGCCACTGCTTCAGCACGAGTTGGCTATGGCGGCGTTCTGGCAACCTTTCTCTTCTTATACATGTTCGTAATTGCCTGCCTTCGTACTTATTATATCCGTACACATCAGCTTGTCATAACTGCGGGCATCGCCATTTCATACACGTGCTTAGCAGAGGTCTCGAACACTCAGGTTACATGGTCCAAGCTACTGAGTTACGGCATACCATGGCTGCTAGGTCAGGCTATTTCTCTGGTTATTTGTCTCGTGGTTGTTCCCGATGCTGGTGCTCGCCCACTGGCCGTCTCCCTTCACCAAGCGTTCCATGTCATGCTGGTATGTCCATGTCATCATCTGAAACTGCCCTTCCATTGACCAGAATACAGAATTCGCTCAAGTCAACAGGGTCACACAATTCGCGAACCCGCCGTGAGCTAACTCAAACTTTTGTCGGTATGTCTCAGGCTTACAGAGACCTGGTCATCGACTTCTCTATAACCCTTTTTGACCCCAAAGACGTTTTGGACCTTCGCAACCTTATACAAGGTGTCATACGATCAATGCTGGGCATTCGGAATGAAACCAAGCTATTTGATCAATACGAGGAAGCGGGCATTATGGATGGCCCGGGACAAGATAAACCTGACGACTTTGTTGTGCAGGTGGACACTACCGCAGCAAGCCGCCCAGCGAATGTCCAAGAAAGAGAATTGCTGAAGTTTGTTTCCACGAATCTGGTAGAGCCGACGAAACTACTGATCACGTCCATGGAGTTCGCATTACAGAGCAGCGACGCTGTCCTGATGGACATGTGTGGACATCGTCAATATCTCGGCCCTCCCGACGATGTGTCGAATGATGTGCCGGGCGCCCTGGTAAAGCTGCGAAGACGCATCATCGAGTTCAGCGAGTGTCAGGACAGCGTTTTGGCAAGCGAAAGACTGCCACCTACCTATACCGACTTCCCTGAGGTTGTCAAGCTTTTCGCGTTTTGCCGACCAGTTCATCAAATGGCGACAGCTGTGGAAGCTCTGCTGGTCAAGGTAAACCACATGCAGCAGAATAAGCCGGAATATCCAAAGTTTCACCTTCCTGCCTATCCTTTTTGGAAAGCTCTGCACCGCACCAATGCGTGCGTTCGCCACGACAGAGGGGGCGTCACCGCGGGCTCGTACTTCAGAAGCTTTAGCGACATAGCAAAAATTATCCAGAAAATCAAGTCCCAGGACTTTACACCTCTACCTCGAAAGGGTGAGGCGGTAGACGATTGTCATGATACATCATACGCTACTATGACAGCCACGGAGCTCGAGGACGACTCTACCGCTGGTAAGAGTAGCCTACGACGTGCAACATG